CTTTATTTAACTCACTGGGGTAGAATGTTCTAGTTCCACATGCCTTGTCTAATGGATGTCAGTTATCTCCTGTTAATTCCCTTCTCCAAGTTCTCTACTACCTTAACCGGGTATTGAACTCACACTTTTTTGGGTCCTGTCACTGGATCTAACCAACTCCTTTATCCACTGTCCTTGTTGTTGGTTAGACCCAGTGACAGGACCCAAAGATGTGAGTTCAATACCCAATTAAGGCAGTGGAGAATTTGGAGAGGAGAATTAACAGGAAATAATTGATAATTGCCATTTTTACATAATCTTTTTATTTTTTTTATAATCCCTCAATCTATGCTTTTCTTTGAAAATGAAGTAGTTGAGTTTTTTTTGTTTTCTTTTTATTTATTTTTTATTTTTTTTAAATCAAGTCACCCCAAGCAAGGTGACAATGCCACTAAGACACAAGGGGGCTACTCAAAGTGAAAAAGAATGTGAAAACTTTAGAAGAAACTAGGAACACAATCCTAAACAAGGATAAACTTCTACTTCTGTTTAAAAGACTGAGGAGGAGAGTGAACTTGGTGATAGGCATACCTATCTACTCCAGATGAGGAGAAAATATAAATAAATAAAAAATAAATGTTAAATAAAGTTTCAGCAATCAGGCAGAGACATCAGACATATAGAGTTAAAGTAAACTTTAGAAGGAACCAGAAACCTTATCATAAGTAAGAAACAAGGGATAAACCTTTACTTCTGTTCAAAGAGTTGAATTTTAAGATTAAGAAGTCCTTTTTTTCTTTTTGTGTTTCAAACGACATAATGATTTACTTCCTTTTATATCGCAAAAAATTTGCTTATTTTTGTTTTTCAAAGTCTGAAACTTATTGCCACTGACCACAAAGTTAATTTAGCATATTTAATTGTGGAAAAAATGCTAAGATATACTGCATTTTTCGTTACATTTGAAATACATGTTCAAAGGAAATAAACAGGATTCAATAAATTTTCATTATTATGTAAGGGAGGTAACTCACTGTTTAGTATATAAAAAAAAAAAAAAATAATTGTTTTAGTAAACAGGATAAATGTCCCCGCGATAAGACAGTTTATCAAAAGGACAGTTTTCCCATGACACTGCTTTTTAAACACCTTCACTCTTCGGCAATGTTTATTGTTTTAAAAAGCAATGGTTAGAATTGCAATAAAACTTAAACATGAAAATAAATTTATACATTTTTGTTCTTGAGAATTTGACACCAAAAATAATAAACACTTGACTAGTATTTATTAAATTGTTTATTGGAATGCTTGGCAAAACATCAGCTAATCGCCAGTTGATTTGAACTTTATGAAATGATGGTAAATAATAATGATTTAACATATTTTAATAATTTAGTAAAAATGTTTATCAATTTACGAATAAGAAATGTTTTTTAATTGTTTATAAATTGGTAAATGATAAATTTTGCATTGCATTTAATCTTCAATTATATACATTTTTTACAATGTTGTAAAATTATTCTTGTAAATAAACAGGCTAAATAAATAAATTAATTAATATAAAAGAAATGTTACTGAATATTTATAAAAACTCTGAATAGTTCTAATTGAATTAGCTTTTAGAGAATGTTGTAAATATAAAATTATTCTTGTAAATAAACAGGCTAAATAAATAAATTAATTAATATAAAAGAAATGTTACTGAATATTTATAAAAACTCTGAATAGTTAATTGAATTAGCTTTTAGAGAATGTTGTAAATATAAAATTATTCTTGTAAATAAACAATCTAATAATTAAATAGTATTTAATATTTTTGTTGTAAATTCTCAAGAACAAAAAAAAATGTATAAATTCACTTTCATGATATATATAGGTTTTATTCCAATTCTAGTTGTTGCGAGTTGTAGGTGAGTGAAATATATATCAGAAGGTAATTTATGTAAGGCAAAGATTATACGTGCTTATTATGCATTATCCCACAACATGTAGACCAAATAAAGAATATAAGGACAATTTGCATTGCAAGAAATTATTAAAAACAGTGGTTAGAGATGCAACAATAAAGAGATTTTTATATATACAATAGATATACATACAAGGATAACAGAATGTTTGTTAATTGTGGTAATTGAGACAAGGTTATGAAGAATGTTCATGCAGAAATTTGGTTGATAAAAGTTAATGGTTTTGATTTGTTAGTGAAATTAAAATAATTTGGTTTCTGCAAGGAAAAATCTCTAATGTGTTCGTTCAAATAATAGTGTGTATGCGTGTGTTACTTGTGAAGAGTTGTTTGCCTTTAACTGTTTGGCTAAATTGATGAATTATACAATTACTGTTTGTGTAGTGAAAAACATTCACTTTTTAAGTCAATTGTAATTTGATTACCACATGGACAATGGTCGATTGAGTGCTATGTTGAGTTTGTTGAGAATTTTGAAGTGATGTTGAGTCAGTGAATTGACACGTGGAGTTTGGTAGCATCTCATGAAACTCAATGACTGACTGACTTGAATTGAGTCATGCGGCTGTTTATATAGACTTTGGTATCTAAAAATTGGCTCCAGGGAGCTTCAGCGGGAAAAAGGATCTGTTTCAACTTTGTTACAGTTTAGTGTTTCTTAACCAATAGAAGATTGAATTTACTGAAACGAAGTGGTGATTGGTTAAGGCTTTTTTAGGGAAGAATACATCTTTCCAAATGGGGTGGAAGGCTAATGTGGAAGATTCCACAGTGTCATGTAGAAAAAGCATCTTTTTTGACACTACGTAAGTCTTATTGTATGCATGTTTATCCATATTAGTCAATTTATGTTTTCAAGTTATTAAACTACTTTCAGACAGTAAAACTTTTTGTTGTAGCTGAAATTTTTTAAAGTATTTTAATTTTACAAAGTCTAAATTAGTTTTAAATAAAGGAGTGCTAAACAAGATAAATATTAAATCTCAGAAACATATGTTAACCCCCACCCTCCTCTGCAGTCTTTTAAGTCAGGTGAGACTATCTCAAAAATAAACATTCAAAATCTTTTTTATTTTTTTTATTTTTTATTTATTTTTTTTATATGAATGGGTGTACTCAAACAATTATCACTGACAACAGTGGGAAATACTGTAGAACCTCAATTCAACATATTAATAGGACTGGAAGGGTCATCCGTTAATACCATTTGTCCATTATTTTGAAGCACTGTTTTTTGTGGCCAAAAAATACCCAGTACAGTACCAAATTATTGTAAATAAATGTAAATACAGTATATATGTATGTGTATTTTATTTTTAAGTCACTATATAGTAACTTAAAATAAATTACAGACACAATTGGATGTCATAGTGAAGGGCTTGACAAAAACACAATGCTGTATACTGTACTAAAATCAGTATAAAATGTTTGAGAGACAATGCATGTGTACATGACAAGCTCTCAAGTAAACAACAACAACAACAGCAGCTATTCCCAGAACTACCACTCTCTCTGTTGATTGAGCTGGTAAACAAAAACAGCCAATGGACTAACATTTCTGCAGATTTTGTCCATTGGTTCCAGGACCATTAATTCAAGGTTTTACTGTTCATATTTTATACACCTATCTCAGCCATGAGTTAGACTAAAAAAAAGGCATTTCAGTAAATTATTACACTAAACACATCAAAGAATGTCACAAGGCCACAATTGGGGGTGCTCATTAATGCATCTCTAAATTAGAGAAGTTTACATTACACTTCAGTTGGGTCAACTTTCCCTATGCCATTATTCCAAAACTACAAATTTATATTCAAAGGAAGAAAAAAAAGAAAAATGAACATGTGTCCCATTCATTGTCTTAGGTATATACTGTTTTAAATCATTTACAGTGTAAAGATCCATTTATTCTGTAGAAATTACTTTGTAATTGAGCAGATGTGGATTTTCAAAAAATTTCAGAGTAAGAATTTTTTAAAACCTTTGCTTCATATTATAGCTGTGCATGTTTAATGAAGTTCCTCAATTCCTTTATCTTTTCTTTGGTCAGCAAGAGAATTTTTGTGCAAATATTTCTCTCAGAGAAAATGAATGAAGTTGTCATTTCAAACAAAGGAATGAAATAAGAAAGAACTTGTGGTTCAACAAGAATAAAACAAAACAGTTCTTAGAAGGAATAATCCACAGAAAATAATCAAGAATCAGAGAAGAAATAGTTGAGAGTTGTTGAATTTAATGAAAGAGCTCTGAATTTTTATCAACCTATCTGAGAAGTTTTCTTGTTCATGCTTTTGTGTGCGTGAATAAGTGTTCACTGTCCTGGTTTGGTGGAGGTGCCAAAGTACATGTCTTATCCCAGGCATGCTTAGTGGCAAAGAGAGTGAGCCAACTTCTTTGGAGAAAATTGTTGCATTGACAGCTAACCCAAAGCTTTTCAGCCTTTCTAGTGTTTTGTTTTTATGTAATTGATGCTAACTACCACAAGTCATTTCAAATTTTCTGAGCAAATCCTAAAGAAACCAAGATCTGTAATAGGTAAATCATAGAATTAAATAAACTTTTGAAAATCCCACAAACTTAGAAATACAAATAATTTTTCAATTTCCTGGATTTAAAAGGCATTTAGAGCAATTTTTTGCTGAGAAAGATGAAAATTTCTGGAGGATGAAATTATGAGCAAAACAACAGGAGTTAGCAGAACAAAGCATTAATATGATGGTCAATAAAATTAATGTTGAAAATAAAATAGAGTGTCTTTTACATAATATATCAAACAAACTTTTTTAGTTACTCAGTATTTCCACATGTGTCAAAAAAAATGCTTAACAGAACCCACTTGGCTCACTGGCTAGGAATTTTTAAATTTACTGTTTGCAACTTAATTGTTGTTTTTATTTGTACAGTCTTTGGATGGACATTATTATAAACAATAACATTTTATATTATTAGATTTAAGAATACAATTATAACATTTTCTGTTTCCTTTTCATTTATTCTATTAAAATATAAACATTATTTGTGAAATAATTATTTTCTTGTTTACATGTTCTTTTAGGATGACCCACTTTTTAGTGCCAAACTGCTGTCTACAAACCCAGAAGCAATCAAAGAGGTCCATAAAAGGTCTGCTCAGTATTTTATTATTGTAATAAATTTTTGTCACAAATTTACTAAAATAAAATCTTTGCAAATTTAACAGTATAAAAAGACTCATAAGAGATAATAATCATACAAATAAAATTAATAATCCTATTAGGGTCATAGGATTACCACATGTAATGTCACCACAGCAGCAGTTGTGTTTCCTGGGCAAGATAGCCTGACTGAACATAACCCTCTCCAGGCTGGTTTTGAATTCAGAGTTTTTCCTTCTCCTAGACCAGTTGCCAATCAAGGTCTGTTCTGCTGTTTACTCATAGCTGGGAAAAGAAGATATAGATTCAAAATTTTCCTAAGAGTATTAGCATATATGTGAATGCAATGCTTGACTGGAATTTGAACTCTGCTCTCTGGTTCCACTATTCATTACTCTATTGTGCATTGGAAAGATTTGGGCTACTTTAAAAAAATATTGAATGGTTTTATAATCTTTTTCTATACACAGAACAAAATTAAAGTTAATATACAATATTAAAGGTTCTTCTGAACCCTGAAAATAATTAGTATATCAATATTCAGTAACATTTCTTTTATATTAATTTATTTATTTATTTATTAGACTTTTTATTTACAAAAATAATTTTGTATTTAAAACATTCTAGAAATGAATACATAAATGCAAAATTTATCATTTACTGATTTATAAAGAAATAAATATGAAAACATTTTTTATTAATAAATTTATAAACATTTACTAAAATTATTAAAATATGCAAATCAACTATAAAGAAATCATTATTATTTACCATTTTATAAAGTTCGAATCAATTGGCAATTAGCTGATGTTTTGTCAACCATTCCAATAAACAATCTAATAAATAGTGTTTATTATTTTTGGTGTCAATTCTCAAACAAAAATTCATTTTCATATGTTTAGGTTTTATTGCAATTCTAATCATTGCTTTTTAAAACAATAAACATTGCTGTTGATTTCCCAAAGTGGGGGCAATGATTGCAAAAGTTTTCTCCCTCCACCCCTTATAGTCAGAAAGACACATAATGCATGCTGGGATATTTTTCTTAGCCAATAAAATGAGTTGGCTTGCATTTTAACATGACTCCTTCCAGATCTGCCTTAACTACTAGACAGACATACTGTGTTCACTTGGTTAACCTTAATTTTGTGTACAAACATCAACTCCTAGTTTGTGAATTCTTTTTGCATTCTTATCTGTTTTGATTTGCTTTAACTATATTGTTTGCTTGCATGATTGTTGCTGTTTCATCTTTTTTACTTTTTTTCTTTTCATTACAAACTTTATTAATTCTGATCATGTTATTTATCTTGCACTTTAAAAATGGCTTCTAACACATCAATTGCTGAGGTATGAAAATAGTTCAAACAATAGTGGTATCAAGGGAAAAACCATCCTTTTGATACTCCATTTTTGTTTTGCAGCCACAAAGGTCCATGTTTGCCCAAACATCTATAGTTTGACTTTTGTTTTACATTCAGTTCAAATGGAACCTATTTATTGAGATCTTTTCTTACTAATTATTCTTAAATGATTTAAAATTCTTTCAGTAAGTGAATTAAAGTTTGCTGTGAATTCTTTGATTTGGATTATGGAATCATATTCCAACACAGCTCTCATATCATTATCAAATGATGGTTTGGGACACTCCATCTCATGATTTGCTGGACTAAAATGTCCAATTACAAATTTTTCAAACCAGCATCTTAATTATTCGGACCTGTTCATTTGCAAACAGCACCTAAATGCAGAATTTGTAATCTTTAAAGTTGTAATGATACAAAATCATTTAACCTAAATTTTGAAATGCTGAGGAAAACCAAATTTTTTTTTTTTCCCTGAATGCTGTCTGTACACCAAAGTTCATATTTGGCACCAAACATAACCTAATTTAAACCAATGACTTTAATTTTACTTCTACTGTCCTCTGGCAGATCTTGCAGGCCGATATGGTGACATCAATCAACCCATGACACTCTGTTGTCTCTCATTGCCCTGACTAATCTTTGATTTTGAAGTTTGTGAAAATGTTAAAAAGAGCTACCGAATACCTCATGGATAAAAATTGACTTAATTGTCTATGAGATTATGGTATTTGTACTACCAACTGGAAATTGCTTCCTGGGTATGACGATAAACTACATCCACGTCCTGGGTATGACGATAAACTACATTCGCATCCTGGATAAGACGATAAACTACATTCGCATCCTGGATAAGACGATAAACTATGTCCAACAGCAAGGCCTCTGATCAGGAGGTTTTGAGGAGCATGGAACCACCTCTTAATTGCTGGTATTCCCAGGTCCACCCTGATCCGGGGTGGTAGCACCTGTTAGGGTTCCAGCTATGGGCAAATAGTTAACCCCAAAACTGAGGTAAAAAGCATTATGAAAGTGTAAAAGTAGATTTTAATACCAGAAATACTTTGTAAAAAATTATTACCAGAAATAAATTTTTGAAGAAAAAAAACTATTACCAGAAATAAATTTTTGAAGAAAAAAAACTATTACCAGCAATATATTTAAAAAAAAAAAAAATTTTTATCAGCAATAAATTTTTTAAGAAAAATCTATTACCAGCAATACATTTTTGAAAAAAAAAATATTACCAACAATACATTTTTGAAAAAAATATTACCAGCAATACATTTTTGAAGGAAAAAATTATTACCAGAAATAGATTTTTGACAAAACAAAATATTTCCAGCAATAAAAACTTTGTTGGCATTAAATAACCCATTCAGGTTGATATACCGTAAAACACAACAAAACAAACCAAACCAACTAGAAATTAAGATATCTCACTATCTTTGTCCTTACTTTAACACTAAGTTCTAAATTTAACATTTTTTGGTGACCTGTAGATCATAAACACAGTTCCATATTTTTCAATTTTCATCCAACATGATGATAAAGATTTTCAACAAACTTGTGAGTTTTATATTTCTTCTTTATTAAGTCTTTCTTTTCATTTTATGCTTTTCCAATTAATTACAAATCTCATTTTTCTTGTACATTGTCTAGATTTTACAAAGCTGGCTCAGATATTGTTGTAACTGCCACCTACCAAGCCAGTATTGAAGGCCTTCAAAAGTACATAGAAATTACATCACAAGAAGCCTATGATTTAATAAAAAAGGGAGTTTTATTGGCTAAACAGGCAGCACAAGAAGTCCAATCGGAATGTCCAGGTAAATAGAATGGCTATCTTTAATTTAAGAAACAGAATTGCTGTCATGAGTTGTATGAAAGCATAAATCAACAGGCAAAATTCATATATACACAAATAGGAATATCTGCTAAAAATAACTTTTAAAGTGCTAAAATCCATCAGATTAATAAATAAAGCATCCACTACTTCTTTAGAAATATATGTAAAATTTCAGGTAGAGCATATTTGGAAAAATACAATATAAATAAAGACAAAAGGAAAAATTATCTTAGCCAACATGTTTTATCCTCTGAAGGACTTTATCAAGGCAAATGCAAGGATTTTATTTTGCAACAAGTATATATATATATATATATATATATATATACATGAGCAAAAATGTTAGCGTTTCTTTTGTTTAATTTTCAAATTAAGAATGTTTATAAATTTTCATCAGGTTAGCTGAAAAGTCTAGGCAATCTATGGAGGACACCAAATGACACAATTCACCGTTTAATAAACAAAAGTGAGTAAATGATGCTCTTGATTTCTTTTGTTATGCTAATTAGTATGTAAATTATTTTCGTTTAGAGTTAATTCCCATGTTATATATTTTAAATAACATGAGGTTATGAATTTAACCATTTGCTTTTAATTTTTTAACATTTTTATAGTCATGTATGTTGGTTTTGGAAAGGAGTAATTCTTTCATATTTGAAAAAATCCGGCTGTTATGAAAAAGAGTAATCTCTGGAATAGTTGTTGTCAGGTCAAAAGATGGTAGCTTAACTGACATTCACTGTGGTATTCTGCTTTTATAGCTGTATCTCTTTTACATAAAATACTACACCTGCCTGAACTGAAATGGCCTTATGCTCTTGTTTGATCTTTGACTTCTAATTATTCTTGGGAATCTAATCTATCTTTCTTGGTATGTATCTTGATTTCTTTTTATATCAAACCTACGTCTGAGTTCATTTTCCTTTTCTGACTCCTTGTCAGATTTCTCATCATTAACATCCATAGGTTTTCATTAGTATTGCTGTGTTGTGTCCTTTTTGTACTTCTCTGGATTAGATTCTTTGTCTTTTTTATACCATACACTTTCACTTGTTGAAAATGACATTGTTATAGGAGTTCTAATCTGTCTACTCATTAATGCAAAGGGACTTTGTAGACTGCCGGCATATAGAATTGTCCTATAGCTTAACAGTAATCTTGGTAACTCACTATATTATCATTATGTTATAAAATAAAATAAGACATATCTCGGCTGATTTACAGGCAAATACTCAAGAGCGAGAACCGGATGTGAACGGGACAAAGCCCCGTCACAAAATGACCATTATCTTTCTTTACAAATGTTTCCGACACACGTGTTCGGTCAAAAAAAAAATAATATTTAAAGTGCTCTATTTTTCGTCCAATAAAAATGCTTCCCCTAATTATACTCGCTTCTTTTTTCGAGCCTGTTAAGCCATAAAAAAAACGCTATAAAAGGGGTCACACAGAAGTTCAACAGGCAGTCCACAGGTGCCCAGGATAGAGACCTGTCACATTCAGCTGCTGACAGCAGGGGGAGCGTCAACCACCGTCAACATGTGTGAACTGCTATGAGAGGTTGACCTAGATCAGAAAACCGGCTTATGAACTTTACCACAAGGTAGCTGTCCCAAACCCACACGTTCCTGTTGAAATAAACCACGTAAATCTATTTCTACTGTTGTTGTATTTCTTTCTTGCAACCATACGCTTGTCTATAACAATTAGATGGGGAAAATGCTTTTAGTCCCATTTTCACAGTCTATACCATTCCTTCTGCGACTGATTGATTGTGTGTGGTAAGTTAGTGTTTCATACGGCACGTATTCAATATGCTTTAGCCACCACCACAAACTTTCCTCTCAAAATTCTGAGACCAAAGTTTTAGGCACCCCATTCTTTGAAAATATTGTTTTAGTAAGCCTATCAGGTATTAATTGTAGTGACTTCTTTATATTTTCTGTCAATTTGATTATATGCCGATTTCAGGTCAATCTTGCCAAAGTATTTCATTCCTGCTTATTCATGACTTGTCGTTTCTATATTAGGTAAGGGAAATGAATCAGATCAAATCTGATGATTCATACCTACTTTGTAATCCCCACATATCCTCAAATCGCCATTGGGCTTTCATATTGCAACAATTGGTAAAGCCCAATTGCTGCCACCTTGGGTAACTTTTCCCAATATTTTTTGTTCTAGCATTTTCTTTAGTTTTGCAACTACCATGGGTAGAATGTGAATAGGTATTTTTCGAGATTCAAAATAGACCAGGTGAATATTTTCTTGTAGACAAATACTCACTTTATATCTTTTCAATAATCCTATGTCAGGTTCTTCTGACTTTATACACTTTATTAATTTCGCCATATCCACATATAAAACGTTTATTCCCAAGAGTCCATGATTTTTTGTGCATTCTACAATAGTGATAGGAATCATCTCAGAACGGTTTTTTGTCTCAAAAGTTCCTTCAAAGGTGCTTAGAATTTTGATGACAGATTCATCAAATTGTTTTAAATCAAGATTACTTTTTCTTAATTTGGATCTACTCATTTTTTCCCATAAATTTCTTGGTCTCAAGGTAACATTGCTCCCTGTGTCAACCTGCATGGGAAAAGTTATGCCATCCAATTTTACTGTCTCTCTACTTTTTGCAGGTGTTCTTATCGAATATAATTCTGTATTTTCACTATGAGGATTTATACTTTCTACCCTTTCTATTTTCTTTTTGTATCTGCTCACATATTGGAAATGGTCTTTTCTTTTACAGTTTAAACATAATTTTCCTATGGCTGGACATTTGTTTTTGTTTCTTTTGTGTTCTTTGTCACAATATTAGCACTTAATCAGGATTTTAGTTGTTGTATGCTTCCACATTGATTTTAGAATTATTAAATTCATTAGTTAATCCTAATTGCAAAAATTCTACATTTGCTTCTAAATTTATATCATTTGCATGTAGCTGTTCTAGGATCTTATGTTTGTATGTAACACCATACATGCCTTCAATTAATCTTAGTAGAATCAATTTGTTTTCTACAGACATTTCTCTTGAACCCAATTTTTCAAAGATATTGCATCTTGGTACTTCTTTCAACCTCCTGTATAAATATTTCATTTGCGTTCTGTCTATTTTCAGAAATTTTGTTTTCTCTACAATATCCAGCTTTTATTTTAGTTGCATTTTCTCTTTATAATGGTTGAAATTTCTTCATATGTTAAGTCTTCCTGTATTTTGGAGTACACCACAATTGATATTTTCTTTATGGCTTCACATCCTGCTGAAGCCAAAAACAAATCAGTAATTTCATCCCCATCTCCGGAGTCTTTCTTGTCTTTCATTTTCTTTACTCTAGCCAACACTGCGAAACATCTAATCCACATTTTTGTGCTCTGGTTCATCCAACATAGTTAGGGATCCTATTGGCAACGCATATTGTTATGAAGTAGAGTAAGCAATGGAAGAGACATTGTCAGGTCAACAGATGGTAACTCAACTGTCATTTGCTGTGGTGTTCTGCTTTTATAGCAGGATCTCATTTACATACAATACTACACACTTGAAAATTTTCTGTCTAAATAAGTTATATACACACACACACACATATTTGACTGAGCCCAAAGTGAGAAAGACTTTCTTTATGTTTAAAGATTTTTCTTTTTATGCATGATTTTTTTTTGTCAAAGTTTCAAATTTATTCAGTGTGAATAGCTTTTCAAATTTTGTGTGACTACTAGTCTAGTCTAAACGTTCAACATTATTTTGTTAGTGTTTTTGTTGATATTCTATATTACATGAAAATAATTTAACATTAACAAATTCTTTTTACATTTAAAAACAATCCATCAGAAATATAATTTCAAATTTTTTTCCATTTTGTATTTTATCATTTTTATATTTTGCCCACCTTTTATGATATTTTATTACTAAAAGATTCTTTATTTTTCATATTCTAAAGATTTTCTTTGGTAACGAAATATTAAATAAGTACAAAGCAAAAATTGCAGTTAGCAGTAAGAATTACAAGTACAAAACATCTCCAATGACAGTTTCGTTTGTGTATAGCTCCACAAAATTTTACATTGTCAATTTCTATCTGAAATAAAAATTTTAAAATTTAAATGTAATAAATTTTCAAGATTTAAACTTTAAATTTATATAAATAATTGTTTTTGAATATTGTTTTCACATGTTCAATGTTATGACTTTGTAAAGTTCACTCTCGTTTTTTCATCGAACCACAAAATATGTTTATTTTTTCTTTTGATAGATCGAAAACTATTACTTGTTGCTGGATCAGTGGGTCCCTACGGAGCGTGCCTTCATGATGGATCTGAATACAGGGGAGATTACATGGGAAAAATATCTATTGATGTAAGGTTATCTCCCTTTAATAATCATTTCAAAATCGTCTACACATAACGGGTTTCATGTAATCACCTTTTTGAATATTTTTACCACAACGAAAAACTTTTCGTAATAGAATGATTTAGAACAACATATTCAAATGAATATTTACGAAATTTTTTTTTATAATATACTAATTTTCGATAGTTGAAAAAATTCTTTAAAAATCATTATTAATAATTTATTAGTAACAAGATCACTCATTATTACCAGAGATTATAATTATTTCAATATTATAACAAAATGAAGATTTATTTTGAAATATTGAAATCCATTCATAGTATTGTTATTCATGAAAAAAATAATTACTCATCATCACTTACCCGTTGTCGTAAGGTCACCTCAATGTGTCTTTTCTATAAATACTTTTATGGTAAGTGTTCGAATGAGTTCTTTGCTATGTTACCAAGACTATTTCATTTAAACGCAGTACTAGACTGGTGTTGATATCTCATTAATTTGCAGTTTAGTTGGCTAGATGTTCAGAAATTGATATGGCAACTCAATCACTAAATGAAATAAATAAATCACAATCCAACTCTAAGATGCAGACAGAAAGAAATGTCAAAATCATGAATTGCAAGTCCAATGTCAAAAAATCCCAATACATGTAATTGGTCAGAAATCCAATACACAAGGCATCAGTCACTCACAAGCCAACAGACAAGATAGAAAAATAAACTGCTCTCCAGTTTGAAAACACCAAATGCTTTTATTGACGGGACAATTTTTTCATTGTTCGACAGTTGGAGGGGACAAACAATATTAGCATGTCTGAGATGCATTTATGGCAACAGCTGCCACTGACTTGTTTCTATTTTGGTTATTTTGTCTTTGGTATATTGTACAGAACACATGCGCCCTTTATGTTGGTAAGTGACTTTCTCTTTTGCCACACTCCCTCCTAATCTCATGATTACGCTGGTGACAACTAGGGGTGGGTCTCTTAAGCCTCGTGCTTTTTCTCAAAGGAACAACTACTGTCTCCTCTCCTGATGAAATGCCTCCCAAAGGGACATCAAACGTATTTCCACTAGGCTGAGCATTGTTTTCTTCTCAGGACATACTCGAGGCATCTCTTATTTTGAACAGGCCCTTATTGTTAAACGACTCACTGTCAACATCACTTGACATGACAAAGAGGCACAGATCATTACCATCAACAAAAATCACACATGGGCTTCTAATCTCTGTGGCACGTCACACTTGATATTGAGTTGTGCATTGGTTTTGAAGGGTTTTTACCCACACACGGCCCCCTAACCTATATGTCAATCATCCACATTCTTGCTTTAGTGGAGGTATTTTACCTCGTGCCTGGACTGTAACAGTAAATCCTATTAGCAGGCACAATGAAAGGTGACATATCATCTTTTGGTGTAATGTAGTACCAGTCTACAGCTTCCATTACTGGGCATTGTTTCCTTGCGGTAATTTGCTTTACACTTCGGTAGCAATGTTCAACTATCCTGTTGCCAGAGGGGATGTGTGTGCAGTGGAAATAAATATAGATTCCCCACCCATCTAAAAACTCCTTGAATGGTTTACTATGGAAAACGGTGTTAATTTTGGTGAGAAATTCAGCAGGAGGTCTCCGTTCAAAAAATAGGGCCTTGAAATATTTGATGACACTAGCTGAATCTTGTTGATGCAATTGTTGTCAGATTGTGAATTGAGTGGATCCACACTCAATCAGCATCAGGTAATGTTTACCATTGTGATGAATGATGTCCACTCACTAACATCTAACTTTCCTCTTGCCTCTTGGTCATCGTACTGGTGATGGGTCAACAGACTGATACTCTCTACATTCTCTGACTACAGCCCTAAATACTGCCTTGGGCACTGCTGGATCAATCTGCTTTGCAAAGTACAGAGTCCTTTTAATGTCAGGATGCCCATTTTGACAGTATACCGACATTTGCATATTGATACTGCACAGAAATGTTTTACAGGTTTTGTCTCTTTTTCTCACTGCATTGAGCCATCTCTACGGTAACCTTGTCAGTTCAGTTTTGACTTCACCAGCACTATGTCCACCAATAAGCCATATTCATTGATCAGTTTTTCCAAGGTGCTGAGCCTATTCTGAATGAGCATTGTGTGTATTCTGGCCTTTCCAGTGAGTGTGTCAGATATCCATCCATGAACACATGCAGAATCTGTGAATAAGTGCAACTTTTTGCCTTTCATTGAAGTGCTCCATTAACACCCCTGAGCAGGGCGCCCAACTCATCTACATTTATATACTGAACGTCCTTCTCGGGACACAACCAGCATCCATCCTCCACTACGTCCCCATTTACCTCGAGGGACAAAATAAAAGAGTAAAACGAAAAAATGTAATGTCTCACCAAGGTATTATTGTCCCCAAGATATTCTTTCAATCTAAAAAAAAAAGTAAAAATGGCTTTAAATAACTTGCAAAGGGTTGATAAACTGTAGAAAATTAATCAATCAGTTAAATAAGGAGATTTTTCTGACAGAAGTAGTTTAAGAGTTTTGTCAAATTGATTTTGATCAAGCTTGACTGAAACATGTTCTATAATGATTTTCCAAGCATAGCTTAGATGTAGCACAAGGCCGAAAGTATGGGACACCTAGTGAGGATCAAACTCACTACTCAGTCGTAATTGTTCTAGCCAGACAAGCTTGCTACCCATTACACCACTGCAGGGTGTCCCTGAAACATGTTATACAGTGAGTGCTTAAACTTCCACTATTTGAATCAAAGGAATGTGAGGAAACCATTACAAGAATGATAGCCAAATAAATTTGGATCACCTTTTTTTAATATAAAATAATAATTAAAGTTCAAATATTACTAGTTTAAAAATATGACCATTAAAGGAAATCGACTAAAACTCAGATAGTTTACTTAATTCAAAGCAAAAATAGCAAACAGTAATGCCATATTTGTAAAAACCTGATGCCCCAAAATTGGAAAAAGAAACAAGTTTTATTAAAATAGGCCAATAGATTTTTACCCTTTTGATTACAATTTCAAACCTGATCAACATATCACTTATAATGATGTTATTTTTAAATATTCACACAATAAGGTTACAAGAATTGTAATTTCCATAAAAGATTAAATTCTCCAAAATTATGTTGCTATGACTATTGTCCATATAATTTTGTCATATTTATTTTCCATTATATAAAAGTTGACATTGTGACAAATTTTATCAATATATTTTTTATCTTAAATTAATGTTTACACACACACACACACATATATATATATATATATATATATATATATATATATATATATATATATATATATATTATATATATATTTAAATAGGTTTGAAATTACAAAAAGCGTATTAAGGCATTAAAACTAGAAATGTAGTATTGTAGGCCATGATAAGTTTAAAATAAAACACAACAGTCGACGGTTTGTCTATCTCGTCAGAACTGTTAACGGGGAATTTAGATTATGAGGAAAAAAAAAAAGTCTGTAATGGGTGACATGAATGAATGGACAGGAAGGAAAAAAAAAAAAAAAAAAATATATATATATATATATATAAAATTATACCAACCAAGCTGCTAGAATCACATCACAGCAAGTCCAAGCAAACAATCTCTCTGTTTGCAAAGAGCAGGCTGCCTAGACCTGATGTAAAGCGACTCCAGCACCTTAAGATGGAAAAGTGAGTTAACTGGCCAAAGCGGAAAAACCAGTCCACACTGAAATCCATCGCACAAAGTTGGATTCTTTATAAAATGATCCTAATGGAAGACCCATACATGTTACGAATGGTATCGCCCAAAAGAAAATTTTTTGTTTAGTATTATAGATCAGGACGTGTTGTTTAATTCTCACGTCCAACCGCTGTGTTTTCTACCTATGTAGTCGCATCCACAACTACATTTGAAATAGTAAATAACAGAGTTAATATGGTGGGGGTAGAACATCTTTACACATAGATGAAAATATGGAACTTAGTTTGAAAGACAACTACGAACGTTAGCTGCAAAATAACACTCACGTGAACTACATGAAATATTTATAGCGAAGGATTCACTAATCTTACCCAACCACGGTAAACGAAGATAGACCCGGACATTTACCTACTGAAGCAGGTTTGATTTTGTTGAACCTGGCGGTCTCATCTCGAATAACCGATTGAACAATGTTCAACGGATAGCCATTGTTCACAAAGATCTCAGTTAAACAACTGATTTCATGTTTCAAGGTGTCATCCGAACAGATCATTAATGCCCTATGTGTCAGGGCCCTAATCAAATTAATCTTTTTTGTTGTTTAGGACAAAGGAGTCCCAACGTTATATAGTCCTGTAAAAGTAGACTTCCTGTACACAGAGGTAATAAACAAGGAAGGAGTTCTTTGAACAAGAACATCTAAAAGGGCAATGAACCATTGACCTCCTTATCTACTGTAAATTTAAGGGCAGGATGAACACCATTGAGTAGGGAAAAAATTGATCCACTTCTGATTCATGGCTGAACACACAGAAAGTGTCATCAACATACCAAAAAGTATACCTTGGGTCTGGCAGAACTTAAAGGCTTTCTTCATAAAACCCCACAAAAATATTTGCCAACACAGGACCCAAAGGGGAACCTATCGCTACCCCGTCAATCTGGCGATACATAATATTGTCGAAACTAAAATCGACAAACATAGTGGCAAATTTCATGAGTTCAACGAACACTTCTTCAGGTATATTCGGAGGAGTCAAATCGCTACCATATAACATATCGCTACAAATATCAATCGTCTCCGATAAAGGAACACAAGTGAAGAGGCTACAGATGTCAAAGGAACACATAAATCCCTGTCCATTCATTCATGTCACCCATTACAGACTTTTTCTTTTCCTCATAATCTAAATTCCCCGTTAACAGTTCTGACGAGAGGGGACGCCGAAACCGTCGACTGTTGTGTTTTTATTTTAAACTTATCATGGCCTACAATACTACATTTCTAGTTTTTAATGCCTTAATACTGCTTTTGTACCATTTCAAACCTATTTAAATATTCTAAGAAAAGGTACTCCCTGAGTCAATTAGAAAATTGAATAAATTGTTACAGATTAGGTCTAAAATTGAAACATTGAGGGTTAAGACTAATTTTTACATTCTTGTCTTCAGCACCAGGTTTGCCTGTCTTTTATTTCCTTTCGGATTAGGAGGGCTAAGTTGGTGTCTGGTTGGTATAGAGAGAGCCTTTATTAAGTTTTTTTCTTACAATTTTCTAACCAGGATTTGGGCCTACAAAGAAGATATCATCTGTTATGGCGTGAGGCAGGTAATCATTTATCCTATTTTGATAGAATCCGCTTTTGCTTGTTACGTTGGTTTGATATCTGCACGTTGTCGCCTAAGATGGCTAGCAGTTTTCAGAATAAGTTAAAACAACTTATCTCCAAGAGATTTGGCTGTATGGTTGAACCAAATGCTACAAAAAATGTAGTGAATTTGTCTTCTTATTCTCCCTCAGAGATTGAGCTTGCTATCTTGGCCCACGGCCCAGATTTTAGCATTCCTTTCACTTCTATTAGTAGGGAGAATATTTTTTCTGAATTTGAAGTATTGTATGCTCAACTCTGAAACTTCAACCGTGTCTGAGAATAAATCCAGTGACTTTCTTGAGCTAAATTAAATGATTTGGCTCATTCTTATGCTAGTTCTCCTATTTCTGTCTCTGAATCGAAATGGAGAAGTGAACACCATAAGGTTATTAGATCCCTTAAGAATAACCATTCTTTGGTTATTACTAAACCGGATAAGGGATCTGGTGTTGTCCTCATGGACCGCCATGACTACATTAACAAAATGTTAAGTATATTGAATGACCCTTCCAAGTTTCAACGTCTTGGTTCCATTGACACTCATGATTCTACATTGACTTCTGAAATTGATTTCAGAAACGTCTTGTCAAATGGGTAAAAAGTGGTGTTCTTTTCTTCTAAAATGGCGGAGGAATTGAGACCGCCTGGTTCTATTCGTCCCCGTCTATATGGATTACCTAAGATTCATAAGGAGGGTGTCGTTGAGACCCATATTATCGATGATTGGGTCTTCACAGCATAAAAGTGTAAAAGTGGCTTGCTATAATGTTGCAACCAGTATTGCAACATTACAGTTCCTTTTGTATTAAAGATTCATTTTCTTTTTCCAAATTCATTCGGAATTGTGATGCCACTAATGGATTTATGTGTTCCTTTGACATCTGTAGCCTCTTCACTTGTGTTCCTTTATCGGAGACAATTGATATTTGTAGCGATATGTTATATGGTAGCGATATGTTATATGGTAGCGATTTGACTCCTCAGAATATACCTGAAGAAGTGTTCGTTGAACTCATGAAATTTGCCATTATGTTTGTCGATTTTAGTTTTTCGACAATATTATGTATCGTCAGATTGACGGGTAGCGATGGGTTCCCTTGGGTCCTGTGTTGGCAAATATTTTTGTGGGGTTTTATGAAGAAAGCCTTTTAAGTTCTGCCAGACCCAAGGTATACTTTCGGTATGTTGATGACACTTTCTGTGTGTTCAGCCATGAATCAGAAGTGGATCAATTTTTTTCCCTACTCAATGGTGTTCATCCTGCCCTTAAATTTATAGTAGATAAGGAGGTCAATGGTTCATTGCCTTTTTAGATGTTCTTGTTCAAAGAACTCCTTCCTTGTTTATTACCTCTGTGTACAGGAAGTCTACTTTTACAGGACTATATACCCGTTGGGACTCCTTTTGTCCTAAACAACAAAAGATTAATTTGATTAGGACCCTGACACATAGGGCATTAATGATCTGTTCGGATGACACCTTGAAACATGAAATCAGTTGTTTAACTGAGATCTTTGTGAACAATGGCTATCCGTTGAACATTGTTCAATCGGTTATTCGAGATGAGACCGCCAGGTTCAACAAAAATCAAACCTGCTTCAGTAGGTAAATGTCCGGTCTATCTTCGTTTACCGTGGTTGGGTAAGATTAGTGAATCCTTCGCTAAGCGTATTTCATGTAGTTCACGTGAGTGTTATTTTGCAATGAACGTTCGTGTTGTCTTTCAAACTAAGTCCATATTTTCATCTATGTGTAAAGATGTTCTACCCCCCCACCATATTAACTCTGTTATTTACTATTTCAAATGTAGTTGTGGATGCGACTACATAGGTAGAACGACACAGCGGTTGGACGTGAGAATTAAACAACACGTACCTGCGATAATACTAAACAAAAATTTTCTTTGGGCGATACCATTCGTAACACGTATGGGTCTTCCATTGCGGATCATTTTATAAAGAATCCAACTTGTGCGATGGATTTCAGTGTGGACTGGTTTTCCGTCTTGGCCAGTTCGCACTCACTTTTCCATCTTAAGGTGCTGGAGTCGCTTTACATCAGGTCTAGGCAGCCTGCTCTTTGCAAACAGAGATTGTTTGCTTGGACTTGCTGTGATGCGATTCTAGCAGCTTGGTTGGTATAATTTTTATATATATATATTTTTTTTTTTTTTTTTTTCCTTCCCTGTCCATTCATTCATGTCACCCATTACAGACTTTTTTTTTTCCTCATAATCTAAATTCCCGTTAACAGTTCTGACGAGAGGGGACGAAACCGGTCGACTGTTGTGTTTTATTTTAAACTTATCATGGCCTACAATACTACATTTCTAGTTTTTAATGCCTATATATATATATATATATATATATATATATATATATATATATATATATATATAATAAAGGTAATAAATCTGTTGGTATATAATCCTAGTGGATCCTAGTAATATAAAATATTAAAACTGATCCACAAAAAGAGCTCAATGTATTTATTATACAGAACAAATACACACTAAAATTCAAAATTACCTCATATAGAGTATAGACCTATTTCAACTGACAAAAACATTGTCAGTCTTATTCAACCCCCATATATAGACTGATTTCATTAGAGAACTGAGAAATAGAAATTTAACTGTGGCATATGTTGAAAAATTAATACAGAATTGATCCTTTTCAATGTTTCAATCAGACAAAAGGCATGAGACAGTGGTTAGAGGAGGGTGGAAAGTATTTGCCTTAAAGGGAAGAGGTTTTATAAAATTAAACCCGGATATTAACCTTATGACATTAAATTAGGGTTATATGAAGAATTAAGTATTAATTTGAAACTAAGAGAGGAACGAAAAAGTTTTCTTTTTTAAAATTTTATTGATAAGATTAAGTTTAAAAATACAAACAACTTAAAAATACTCTTCCATAGATAATTTATATTTAAAAATAAGATATATTTAATAAATTATAAAATAAGTTATATTTAGATAATTTACATTAAAATTAAGTAAGATTATATTTCTAAAAATTATAATTAATAAAAAAAACTTTGTTATATTAAAGAATAAAAAATAATATAAGATAAAATAAATTCTACATTAGGAAAAAATTTTACTTTAAAGGTAAGTTAAATCAAAAACAAGTTATATTTAAAAAAAATCTAAAAATACAAAATTATATTTTAAAAAATATATATACATAAGGAGGTGTCAGTGATAAAAGGGAAAAGAATTCTTAGAACAGGTGACAATTATAAGATATAATTAATATAGTGTAAAGATGAAAATATAGAAATTAGAATTAGTTATACATTCAACATTTGAAAAGTTACAGAAATATAGTAGCTAATAAGGTAAAATATATGGAAATTTGAATTTAATTTTATGTCAACATTTTACAACTAATTCATTCCTTTGATTCAATAGTTTGCTTTGATTATTGTATTTTATTATTCTAATTTTTTTCTTGTAAACATAAGTTACTCTCTTCAGGCTATTAGGAGAATATGTGGAACCTATAATCTTCCAATCTATCTGTGGGTTCAGACCTTTCTCCTTCAATTGCCAATTTTTTTATTTTTTTTTGAAATAGCTGTCTGGTGTTTTAATTTAGGGTTGGTAGAAGAGTGCCTATGGGTATAAAATTTCTGTTTCCATTCCCTGCGGAAATTCTAATGTAAACAATTATAATTTTCCATATTTTCTTTGGGGGAAATGGTTGCTTGGTATATAATCCTAGTAGATCTGCATTTGCCCTCAACTGGACAACTTTCTTTATATCTACAATTACAGGAGGATTCAATACCAGGTTTGTTGTTTATCTCATAGAAATTACTTAAAATATACTTATGAGAGTTGATAAGTGTGTACATGTTATTAGTAGAAGAGTAACTAATTTTAATAATATATATGTGTGTGTTTGTGTGTGTATATATATATATATATATATATATATATATATATATATATATATATATATATAACCAGCATTCTTTAAAGTTTTTTTATTTATAATGCACAAAGTAGCTTTTAGAATTTTTTAAAACTTTTTTTTATACTTTTTTTAGGTTTTTACTTTCTTTAAATTTTTCCTTTTTACCTTTTATAGTTCTTTTATTATTGCAAATGTTTCAAGCTATACACTCCCATAAACATCTCAAATATTTCTTACACTCATTGCCTCATATACTGTCACAAAATAAAGTGAATTAATAGAGGTGTAATGGTTTATTTGGGTGGGAGGTAGGAGGTTATACTTTCAATGTGATCTGACAGGGAAAAGGACATTTTTTTTGATAAGGCTGATTTACTGATACTTATTTAAACTTATTTCACCGGAAATAAAATCCAAACTAATTGAATAAAACATTTTTAACTTCAGAATTTGTGAGAAAAATTTGGCACAAGGACCAAAAAGCCCTTCCCCCACAAAAAATCTGGTATTTTGTTACATTTTACAAATCGAGTCAAGCTGAGAGCTTTTCGTCAGCCTGTCATATTCAACATATTTTTGAATTAGGCATAAAAAAAAATTGTGTTTTAAAAGTTTGACAAAACCTTTTGAAACATGTGAACACCATTTTCTAAATAAAGTTTTTTTTTGTTTTTGTTTCAGGACTTAAAAGCTTGGCATCAACCACGCATAAAACTTTTGATGGAAGCAGGAGTGGACCTTTTGGCAATTGAGACAATTCCATGTTTGGCAGAAGCTTTGGCCATTATTGATATCATGAATGACATTCCTGGCTGCAGAGGGTGGATTACTTTCTCTTGCAAGGTACTTCTGTTTTTATGAACTGTCTCCTTTTGGGATATGGGTGATCATAGATCTCCACAACTTTCTATCCCTTTTAGCCTTAAGCAACGTTTTGACTCTTTACCTTACTGAAAGTATCTAACTCCCCCTGCCATGTATAAAAATTTTTATTCCCTACTAAATCTAAGTTTTTGTTCCCTACATAAAAACCTAGTTAGTAAGAATAGCAAGTCATAATAGGCACAAAATCACAGAACAAGTCTTGACTACAGTGTAAAATTTTAAAGGAAAAACGTTTATTACACAAGTATGAAAAAGGCACAAAGTTTGCACAAAAATTTCCTTTTGTGTGTCTATTAAGGCAGGATTACAATTTCTGATAAAAAGGATGGTGTAATGGAATAACCAGTCACCCCCATGAATGATTACACTATAGGTAGTAAGTACCTATAAAGTCGGCTGTCTACAAGAAACTCGGAGGGACGAGTGAGAGAGACAACACAAACACGTCCAACCTTCCAATTAGTGACACTCACTACTAGATTGACCTGTAATGGAATAACCAGTCACCCCCATGAATGATTACACTATAGGTAGTAAGTACCTATAAAGTCGGCTGTCTACGAGAAACTCGGAGGGACGAGTGAGAGAGACAACACAAACACGTCCGACCTTCCAATTAGTGACACTCACTACTAGATTGACCTGTATGTATAACTGTACCGTATTTCATATTGTACTTGTTGTGTACAATAAACCTTTCTTCTAGTATTCACCTGGTGTTATATGTTTATTCCCTTAGAACGGAATATAACAAAGGATTACCATTGAAAAATGGAAAAATTTATGATTTCCATTGAGAAAAAGATAAAGCTTCAATAACAAAAAGAGAAAACAATTCAAAAAGGCAGAAAAACAAAGGTGCGACCACCTTTAAGAAAAAATGAAAACATCTACTTTTACTTGCCCCACAAGTGTCTCTGGGACTTATAGTAATTTTAGAAAAGTCCCTATAATAACAGTAAAAATTGCAATATAAGCTCTGGTAAAAATGGTTGCTGAGACATTAGGTTTATAATACCCAGAAATTCATACACAGATGTCCTCGAGGACACAGTGGATAAAGGCATTGGATAGATCCAGTGACAGGACCCAAAGAGTGTGAGTTCAATACCCGGTTAAGGCAGTGGAAAACCTTCAGAGGGTAATTAACAGGAGATATCTGATAACTGACATCCATTAAACATGGCACGTGTAACTAGAACAGTCTACCCCAGTGAGCAAAATAAAGGGTTCAGTTCGATATTCCAACCACCTGAAGTAATAAATATGGCAACAAAGATTAGGACAATAGTCCGAATAATGTAAATAATGTACATAATACCTCATCTCAGAAATACAGACAAATACAGAAGTCCCTTTCAAATTCACAGCTCGTGCTTTAGAAATTTTCTTTGAATTCTTTTCATTCTTTGTTGTCCAAAGGAGAATTTTCACTTGAACTTCAAAATTCTTTACTTTTCTTTCTGCAAAAGATTACCAGCTGGCCTGTAATCTTTTGCCTTCTTGATGCTCTCTTCCTAATGTCAAATGCTCCTTGATGTTGATTTGCCTTGTTTCCTTGCTGTCAAAGTGTCCCCTCATCTACTGATATATTCAGAAAAATAGGCTCGCAAGGCCCCCATTTGGGTTCTCTTATTGGTTAATATATACGAAAAAAATAATTTTCTGTAAACTAGAAATGAATCCTTCACAATTCTGGTGGTCTTTAACTGCTGAGCCAAAAAAAGATATAGACATGTAACAATTTTTTACACAGACTATCTGGCCTTCATAAAAATACACTTCTCTCAAAAGAACAATTAAAGACAATTAAACATTTATTCAAGACTAACATTTTTAAAATGGTAAAAAATTTTTTTTAAATTTTTATGCACACTCTATATCTGCAAGAGCCAGATCTGACCAAAAATGGTGTTTTGCTGCCGCAGCTGGGCCAGAGCATCCCAATCCTCATTTTCCATCTTGTGAGTGAAGAATTATTTACCACCTTACTTGTTCTTTTCCACATATGGAACATTGCTAGCCTCTTTGCTGTTCTACTGCTGTTTTCATGACAGATATTTGGGTGAACTACATTCCTTGGTTCCACCAGACCAGACCTTCACAGTTAGGACCCACCAGTCCACATACACTGAGTCAACTCATTCTCTTCATATTCCATTGGTGAGGAGGAGGTCCCACTCAGGTCCACAGAACTATTGCAATGTGGGATGGACTCTGAAGAGGAGGCTTCCTTGATCACTTCAATCTTAATCTCTTGAAGTAAGAACCAACCATTATCTATCCTACATATCCTTATAATATACAACTCTTGCTTGCTCACTATATGCTGTTCCATTGTTGCAGATATGTGATGTGTATTGGAGAGGAATAGAAGGTTTGAATTATCAGAAGGCTTAAAATTGTGTGTTCAATGATCTTCCATCCACAACAATTGATACAAGATAGAGAATAAAGATTCATAAACATCTTGTTTCAAAACGTAACTATTGAATTTATTAATGTTTGATATACATGCATGAATACTGAGTGAAAAGGTTAGACAGAGTTGTGTCTATTAGATTAGGTAATATTTGTATTCGAGCTCATAAAGTGAAAGTAATTATTAAACTGTAGTTTAAGAAGAATAAAGTTTCTTTAGCATGTTTGGAATTGTGTATTGTACAAGTTGGTAAAAGTTCAGAAGAGATTTCAGTGTTCGTACTTGCATGAATGTTGGTAATGGTCTTTGACATCTGACCGCAAAGGCTAAGATGGGATTTCTTGAAGATTACATCTTGGTACTTGGTAGCAAAGAATGAGACACGAGAGAGAGTTTACACGTGTTTTGTTTTTATAATTTTGTTGTACCACATGGGAGGCTCAAATGGAGAATGCGGGAAAACAGATTTGTCATGTGCAGGTGGTTTGATTGGTCGGAACTGCCCAATCAACAAGCTAGATTGAAGGTAATTAACCAATGAATGCTTGTTATATATTTGTAAGATTGTGATGGTGAAAATTACAACAGGAATAGTGCATTTCCTAGCAGGGGTTAACACCATCATCCCCATTCAGTAGCCCTCTACATTGAGTGGCACTTAAACCTTGTATTGCATAACCAATATTAAAAAAAATATCTTTGGGTTTCAAATAGATGGGCTTGAGTAATTTTTTTCTGAAGAAAAATCCACTCCAGACATTCTTATTTCAACTACTATTTTTATTAAATGCTTAAATGAAGCCCTTTGTCCTAAAATGTCCAGAGCCTAAATTAAAGGGTTGGAATGAAGTTTCCTGCATCTTTCATAAAAGGGGTGGTTGGAATAAAGATGTCCAAGGTGGGTTTTTTTTTTTCAGGAAAAAGAATAATTGTCCCTGCTTTTTCTATTTGAAACTCAAAGGTGGATAACATAGCTGGAGAATGAAAAAAATTGAAGAAAGTGGGATTTATTATCCTGTTGAGCAGATATGAAATTTAGTCCTGTGTGGGTTTCTTGGCTCAGTAGGAAGAAACTATGTTAGCCACCATTCTTTTTTATTTGCTTACTTTTCTCTTTGCTTATGGATTATATGCCTAAAGAAGGCCATAGATTAGATCAGCCAAAACATTGTGCTAATAACAAAAGCATTACAAATAAAGAATTCAATCAACCAAACAACTGGAATTACAATTTTTCATTTATTCATAGCCTTGTGAATGGCCTTCATTTTCTTGAACAGTCATAAGCTAACATGGACAAACATGCCCACAATAAAATATAGTATGAAAAGGACAGTTTTTCCCATGACATGGCTTTTTTTAATGATCTTCATTCTTTGACAGTGTTTATTGTTTTAAAAAACAATGATTAGAATTGGAATAAAACCTAAACATATGATGAAAGTGAATTTATACATTTTTTTTGTTCTTGAGAATTTGCAACAAAAATAAACACTATTTAATAACTATTTATTTGTTAGGTTGTTTATTTACAAGAATAATTTTATATTTACAACATTCTAAAAACTAATACAATGCAATATTTATCATTTACCAATTTATAAATGTGAAAACAAATTTTTTATTAATAAATTTATAAACATTTACTAAATTATTAAAATATGTGAACCAATTATAAGGAAATTCTTATTATTTACTATTTTATAAAGTTCAAATCAATTTGCAATTAGCTGATGTTTTGCCAACCATTCCAATAAATAATGAATAAATAATGTAAAAAAGGAAGTTAGATAAACATATGAAAAAGGCCAGAAGACATTGATTGAAATGTTGTAGTAACAACAACAACATTAGTCCAAATGTAAATAATGTAAATAATTTTTGAATATTCTGGCTTATGTCAGATTGTATCCCCCAGACGAGGCTCTGCTCGGAAAAGTGACTCCATTTTTTATGTGGTCTCTAGGGAATTTTTGCCCGAGCCTACGGGCTCGGATACTCCACTTTAAACTTGACCTTGTGTTACATCTTGCTGCGTGAGGCAGCGAGTAAATAATCATATGCAGATTGCAAGTACATCTATTCACATGTGATGAAAAGCCTTGGCATCTTCTTATATATATATATATATATATATATATATATATATATATATATATATATATATATATATATATATATATATATATATATATTCTTTTAGTATTTGCTGAGTCACTCTATTTGTGTAAGCATTAGAGTGAATTAAATTTTGATATATTTATTTTAAAAATATGTCTTGTTATATCAGGAGTTACATAAATAGCTACACTATCAGATTCGATTATACAAATCAATGTTTTCACTATAAAATTCGTATTAACAAATTGATGTACGTAAAGTTTTAAGGATATATATATAAATATATATATAATTATTTATTTAAAAAATTATAACATAAATACGTTATAAAATCACTACAAAAATAGCCATTTTGTTTCAACACCGCTGGTGTCTTATCACATGACGATGTTGAATGTAAAATAAATGGTTTTAA